GTCGTCACTGCCTTCATGCTTAATGTGTGTTAATGGAGCAAATGCAAAGTGAGCTGCGGTGCCATCATGGACACTGTCTGTATCTTGCTTCGAGCCGAACGCGGTCTGGTTTCATCGAAGCCACATCGAAGGCGGAAGAGTGGACCGAGAGATGGACAGGGAGCGTGACGCACGATGATCCAGTCACCATCCAAGATCATAGTACCACTCTATATTGGACAACGAGACGCATTGTGTTCTTAGAGCACGAAGGGCAGCTCAGCAGGGTCAGTTACCCGGCAAGACGCCTCACATTTAGGGGAGACTGCGTACGGCTGATAGAGCAGATGAAGGGCATTTGCCTAGTCTGAGAAGCGGCCAGCGAGAATGTAACGGAAGTTCGCACGGCGCTTGAGACCAAGCTCATTCAAGCTTTGGATCCTCCATGCAAGTTGAGCACCGACGGATGTGCCTCGTATGTGTCTTCCGATGATGGCCGGTATCGCGCGCTGCAGTGGCCCATCTCTTGCATGCTAAAAACGTTCTTAGTCCCGTGACTGGCGACGTGCACCATCCAAGCATAGTTCGAGGGTGAAGTCCATTTCAATACCGGTACCACGCAAATCGCATCACTTGGAGCTGACAATTAAACTCCGACAATTGTGGACTAATATGTCCCTCTTGTCTACAGACCCGAGTAGAGATTACACACGTTCCAAATGAGATGTGCGCCTTTCTCTCAGAACGTACACCGAGCGCTTTGTGGACGCGCACAGTTGGCAGAAAAGGCCTGCCCTATAATGGTTGGCAATTCACCCTGCTGTTCTACCGCGGATAAATGTGCATTGAGCAGTAAAGAATTGAGTCGTGGAAACCGTTGTCGTCTCTTCCATCTCTTTACCTACCCCTAGAGTTTATCCAAAGCACCTGTTTTCATCGCTCTTTGCGACGCAAAACCGCCTGCCTCTAGCAAACAGAAAACGATATTGCCAGAGAGCAGACGATATCACTGCAACAAGCGACACGATCGCCGCATGCGCGCGGCCAGTTCCGACGAGACCGACTCATGGGGGTGCGGACACTATACTGTACAACTTTGATTCCTTCGCGTGTCAGCTCTCTAAAAAACTGGAGTCCTGAGTCCTCGGCCTTGACAAGAACGACTTCATGATTGGATAAGCAACCGATACAACCAAGAAGTGTGGATCGAGTCCCAGCGAGAGCCTCACTTCCTCGCAGATAGAATGCAATGACCCACTGAACAGAATTCATGTCCCGAGAAACTAAGATCACAATGCGTCTCGTTGTCCAATATAGAGTGGTACTATGATCTTGGATGGTGACTGGATCATCGTGCGTCACGCTCCCTGTCCATCTCTCGGTCCACTCTTCGGCCTTCGATGTGGCTTCGATGAAACCAGACCGCGTTCGGCTCGAAGCAAGATACAGACAGTGTCCATGATGGCACCGCAGCTCACTTTGCATTTGCTCCATTAACACACATCAAGCATGAAGGCAGTGACGACCTTGCTATCGGCGCTCGCCATTGCGTCGGCGCGCTACGTTCGTGTCGAGAACAATTCGTTTGCGCTCGGGTCCCCGACGCACCTCGGCGGCGGTAGCCTTCCGACGCAGAACCTCGTCGGCTACTGGCACAACTTTCCCAATCCCGCGGGCGCCACGTACCCGCTGAGCCAGATCTCCAAGGACTGGGACGTCATCAACGTCGCGTTTGCGTCTTCGCTCGGTCAGGGCAAGGTCGGCTTTGAGCTGGATCCGGCCGCGGGCTCGGAGGAGCAGTTCATCAAGGACGTCGCGGCGCTCAAGGCCGCCGGCAAGACCATCGTGCTCTCGCTCGGCGGCCAAGACGGCGCCGTGACGATCGCGGACGCGACCGAGACGTCCAACTTTGTCTCGACGACCTACGACATTTTGAAAAAGTATGGCTTTGACGGCATCGACATTGACTTGGAAAACGGCGTCTCACAAGGTCTCCCGATCATTAACAACCTCATCAACGGCGTCAAGCAGCTCAAACAAAAGGTCGGCGACTCGTTCTACCTCTCGATGGCGCCCGAGCACCCGTACGTCCAGGGCGGCTACGGCGCGTACGGTGGCATCTGGGGCGCGTACCTCCCGATCATTGACGGTCTCCGCAACGAGCTCACGCAGATCCACGTCCAGTACTACAACAACGGCGGCTTTGTCTACACGGACGGCCGCACGCTCAACGAAGGCACGGTGGACTGCCTCGTGGGCGGCTCGCTCATGCTCATCGAGGGGTTCCAGACCAACTATGGCAACGGCTGGAAGTTCAACGGTCTGCGTCCGGACCAGGTGTCGTTCGGTGTGCCGTCGGGGCCCAAGTCGGCCGGTCGAGGCTTTGTGACGCCAGAGACTGTCAAGCGCACGCTCACGTGCATGGTGCAAGGCGTCGGCTGCGACACGATCAAGCCCAAGACCGCATACCCGACGTACCGCGGTATCATGACGTGGAGTATCAACTGGGATAGCTACGATAACTACGCCTTCTCCAAGCCGGCGCGCGCGGCGATCGACAGTCTCGGCGGCAACAACCCTGGGCCGCGCCCGACAACGGCGTCGCCCACGGACGCTCCGTCCGACAAGCCCACGAATGAGCCAACCGACGAACCCTCAGATGAGCCAACCGACGAACCCTCAGATGAGCCGACGGACGCGCCGTCGGATTTGCCGACGTCCAAGCCAACAGCCAAGCCTTCCAGCGTCATGCCCACCCCGAGCACGCCGCCGCCAGCCTCGTCGTGTGGCTCGTGTACCAACTGCTACTACGCTCCGACGAACGCGTGCTTTGTGGGCTGGACAGCCGAGCAGTGCGGCACCAACGCAGTTTTCACGTGGTGCGGTGCGAATTCGGACGACCCAATCATTGACGACCCGACGGACACCCTATCCGACGCCGGCAGCGATTCGTGGTCGTCCGACAGCGGGTCCGACTCGACGAGCGGCTCTGCCTCGTCGTCCGACGCGTGGTAATTACACCGTTGCGTCGTCACGTCGGTAATTGTTTTTATTTATTTAAACTATATGATAAAAACAGCGGTATATCCATTATTGTCGATTCTTTAGACCAAAAGGCTCAAGTCGAAAGTATTTAGCGCCACTGCAAGGGAGCACCTACCGGTCCATTGAACGACGCATTGCACTCAAGTCCAATAGGTGACGTGCCAGCGCTGGCACGCGGGAGGAACCAGCAGTGGCCGCGCGCGACGCCGCCGACGGTCGTCTCGGAGTGGTTAAAGCCACCAAATTGCCAGTCGACATCAAACGTCGCAAACTGCACCTTGAGCCAGTCGCGCGAAAAGCTGAGCTCGAGAAAACCGTACGGCTCGCCGACCACGAGCCATTGACTATATATGTACTCCTCGTCGACGCCATCCAATGACGACAGGAGAACGTACTTTTGAATCGTCGGCGTCGTCACGATCGGGTTGTTGGCGGTAAAGTACCCGCCGCCGCCGCCGTTCATGAAAAAGTGCGTCCCCCACGTGCCAATGTCGTGGTTGAAGCCGTGCGTGTGCCCGTTGAGCCACGCAGAGACCTTGTAGCGCTCGCAGAGCTCGACCCAGCGGGCCATTTTGGCCGGCGCCATGTGGTAGTGCGGCGAGAAGTGCGTGTTGACGAGCGTAAAGTCCGCGTCCGAGACGGCGAGGTCCGCCGACATGCGCGCATACGAGTCGTCGGCCCAGCTGTCGATGCGGGCCATGCACGCGTCAAACATCTCAGTGTTCCCGAGGACGCAGCCACGGTCGCCGCGAGTGGCGGCGTCGCACTCGCCCGCGTTGAAGCCGTACTTGGCCGCGTACCCGTAGCACTGGCAGCAGACCGACGCGCCACCGTGGTTATCGGCGTTGTTGGTGTCAATGTTGTACACCTCGACGACAATATTGTCGCGAACGATGCGCTCGAGGTAGTAGTGGTCACGCAGCACCCATCTACGACACAGCTCGACTTGTTTGAATTCCAAACGCAATGCGACGGTACCGGTCGCCGTGCGGGCTCGTGTACGAGGCTTGCGCTTGGAAGCGCCGATCCAAGTACGCGACAAGCTCGTCGGCGCTTCTGCACTCGTAGTAGGGCTCCTTGTCGCCGCAGATAAAGCTAGCACCGCCAATGTCGTGGTTGCCCGCGACGTTTAGCCACAGAATGTGGCGCAGCGATGGCTGGTCGTACATCGCCTCGAACGTCTGCTCCAAGCGGTACGCTGCGTTCGCCATGCCGACGCCGACCCAGTACACGTTGTCGCCGTGCGAGAGGATGCGGGCGGGCGCGAGCTGCGCTGCGGACGCCGCCAGGAGGTCCGCAACGTACGATTGCGCGTAGTAGTCGACCTTGTACCGGTCCGAGCGCGTGTCGACCGACCCATTGTACATGACGCAGCACGACCCGGGGTCGCCCGACTCCTTCCCAAGTGTCCCACCCCAGTCGCCGAGCGCCAGCAGCGTCAGCAGCGTTGGCGCCGTCTCGGGGTCGTCCAGGTCGTCATAGTCGGCGCGGGACAGGACGGGAATCGGCATCGCGCTGTGTGGCAATGTCGGGTATGCTGTCCAGACGAGAAGCGCGAGCACGAGCGCGCAAATGGCGATCGTCCCGCGGACGACTATCCAGCACCGCCTGTCTACCCAGATTCATGCGAGAGGCGAGTGTTGTACCTGGTCGCGAGAGCGGATGGTGGCGATGCGTGGTCGGCGACAAGAGCGCGCGGGTCGCTTCGTGCGCCTCGTGCATGGGGCCGGCCGGATGCGAAAATGATGCGCGAGATTCGAGCAGCTGGCGCCGGTATCTTGACCGCGATAGGACGTCAAGAACGTCAATTTTACTGTAAACATTAAGCCAAAACGAGACCGTGCCTGGACCAAGGCATCGCCTTTCGCATCACAAGCTTGGCGGCAGTCCCAAGAAGGGTTTGTACGTTGTTGGTCGGAGCTAACGCGGGGCTTTGATGGATCGAAAAAACAAAAGGAGCCAACATTTTGGTTCTTGGATCATTCTTGACGTGTGGGGATATGGCAAGATATGGTTGGATTTGTGTGTGGCAATTTGCCCGCAAGACGAGTGGCCGCGCCAGCTCCTTGTCCCGCGGATCGCGCTCCGCCGATCTCAACCGAGTGTACACAATGAATAATGTGCGTTTCCTCCGAGATGAAGCTACAGCGTTGCGTGTGTGTTCGAGTTTGCGCTCGGAGCTTCGGAGAACTCTTGTGCGTTGCGCTTCGAGACGACGGCAAGGGGATGTGCACGCGAGAAGAGGACACGTTCAACAATATTGATATATGGATTCTTGGAACCACATCTTGACCGTCAACGTGGCGGTGCCTGTGATTGGCGTGGACGCAATGCATCCCAAGGATGATGGATTTTGGCAATGCGTCGCAGCTACCGGAGCTGTCGTCGAGGGCAGACACGCGAAGATAGTACATAGGTAGGTAGAAGGAAAGCAAAACGAACGCTCTTACACACAGCAATACATTCCTAGTTGACCCATGGGTAGGTGTCGGCGCTCGGATCCGAGCTCGCGACGGGCTCGCGGACGTCGGCGCTGTTGACCCACGGGTACGTATCTGGCTCGTCGCTAGTGGTGCGGAGGTTGGCAGCATCGACCAGCGTTGTGGCAACGAAGGCCGCGACGAAAAATGCGAACGGACGCATGCTTGGGAAAAGGCGCGTTGTGAAGTGACGGGTGCGGTTTAAAACCACTGGATGGCGACAGAACAACCAACATCCCACGCCTCAATTTCTCTTGAAGCAAGCTGGGCAGGTACCTGGCTACAGCGCCAGCTAGACCATCCATGCCCCCATGCCCCACGCGGGCTTGCAGCACGGCTGTATCGCCCATCCCTACGCTGCGTCCGACGAGCGAGTTGTTAAATCAGTGTCATCTTGATCGCCCCAGCATCCATCGATAGACTGCCGCGCTTCATGAGGCTGCAAGGGGCGTCAACCGTCCCACTTGGTGCAACTGGTCGGGATCAGTCTCTGAGTATGAACCAGCCGTTAGGCCGCAAGAAGCGTGGGCCGATCACGCCCTTCATTGTTCTGGTTCGAGCGCAGAAGGAACCGACTGTCGCTGGACGGAGAAACCAACACGCAACGACGACGACCAGCACTCGACCTCGCACAATCCCGCATCAAGACCACCAACGTTCCTCGCTTGGCGCAACACCCGGCCTCACGAGCCCATTAGGAAGTCCACGAATACCTTCGTCGTTAATAACTTACTTGAACTACAAAACACTCGACCCCACCCCTAGCAGATGTGTCCCGGCAGCTGTTTCAGTGAGCATTTCCTCGCCGTTTCATGTCCTCGAGTTGAAGTATCCCAGTTGGGTCATATATCTGTGTACAATAAAAAAGGTGGATTGACTCGACTACAAAACGATTTTATCAACATGAACAACAATCTACTCAAGCGTTGGGACGACCGACTCTGACGGGGATTTTACCGTCTTCGCCACGTAAAATCCGCTGTGGAGACCGACAAGATCGCTGTAGCGTGGCTGATGATGAGGGTATTACACGACCGAGAAATGAGATACACGCATCAGCATACCGCATGCCTTTCATCGCTCCAAGCACGAGAGTTGAATGATGACAATGCTGGATACACAGCGTAATGCAGCAGCCTGCGTCGGTACAGTGTAGTTCCAGCCCTGTGGTCGCAACCATCTTGTTTAATAAAATAGAATCAGCGTCATGGCACCACGCGGGCCTGTAGCATTTGAAGAAATAACGCATCATGCCGCCCAAGAGTGTGTCGATGACCATGCCAACTTCAACCTGCGGTCGTGGCAGAGCAGCGACGGCTACGTTTGCCGTCCTTTGTAAAGTTATTTGTTGCCTTCTCAGAGCCTCGATTCGACGGCAACGAGTACGAGACCCCAAGCCTCGGATCTCGCAATGCTTCGACTCACTTTTCAATAGCCATCGCCACGCACACGCCTCTATGAACATCATATCTATCCTCGCGCTTGCTGCGTCCGTCGCTTCGGCCACCCAAGTGCACTCCGAGTCGTACCCGTGGGTCAACAGCGTCCAAAGTACCGTCGCAACGCACCCGCTCGTCGGCTACTGGCACAACTTTGCCAACCCGTCGGGCGCCACCTACCCGCTGAGCCAGATCTCCAAGGACTGGGACGTCATCAACATTGCGTTCGCGACAACGGTGGGCCGAGGCACGGTTGAGCTGACTCTGGATCCGGCCGCGGGCTCGGAGGAGCAGTTCATCAAGGACGTCGCGGCGCTCAAGGCCGCCGGCAAGACCATCGTGCTCTCGCTCGGCGGCCAAGACGGCGCTGTCTCGCTAAGCGATGCGACCGAGACGGCCAACTTTGTCTCGAGCGTTTATCAAATTCTGATCAAGTATGGCTTTGACGGCATCGACTTGGATTTGGAAAATGGCGTCTCGCAAGGCCTCCCGATCATCAACAACTTGATTTCTGCCGTCAAGCAGCTCAAGCAAAAGATCGGCGACTCGTTCTACCTCTCGATGGCGCCCGAGCACCCGTACCTCCAGGGCGGTCATGGCGCGTACGGTGGCATCTGGGGCGCGTACTCCCGATCATTGACGGTCTCCGCAACGAGCTCACGCAGATCCACGTCCAGTACCACAACAACCGGCGGCTTTGT